CCCCAAAACCCCAAAACCCCAAAACCCCAAAACCCCGATAGTAAAAGAGATCTAAGAAATAGTCAGTATCAAAATATTTAAAAAATAAATTCAAAATGTAAAATGGAATTGACTGTAATCATAAGGATTATGTTTTACTCATTGATCACTAGGTAATAAGGAGAGTAAATAATAGATAAGTTCAATGATAAAAAGATTAAGAAGAAAATAAACCTAAAATTAAAGGATTTAATAAAACAGAAATCGCATAAATTCCTGATGCTTTAGTCATATCACTTAAGAAATATTTTAGCATTGTCAGAAAGCTAAGATCTATATCAGATAAATTAACATTAATAAGCTTTAAAAATGAAGTAGAAATAGACATTCCGAAAATTTTATAAAAAATAATCCAATCTGAAATTGAGTATAAACTTGAGAATTATTGCATTTCTCTTGATCTTATAAGAGATTTCAATACTCAACTTGATGAATTGTGCGATTGGATTTAAGTTGAGATTCACCACTCAAAATAAGTTTGAAGCAGACTTTAATCTGGGTAGTAGATTTTTTGGTATTTCAAATTCATGTCTCATTTGATGATTGCTCAAACTCTAAATTATCTTGGGTAGATAAGCGAATCTTTGGTAGAAATCTAAGAAATTGAAAGCTAATTAGATTACATTAATCACGATAATTTAAGAAGTTTCTTCGCTTCTAGAATTGGATTCAGAAAAATTAATTTATAGCTACTATCGAGACCGAATTCGGCATGCTAATGGATTCAATTTTATCAAAAAAAACTATACGAAGAAATTGAAAAGTATGAAAATTTAACACTTCAAGATGACTGCTATTAAAAAGAGTTATTCATTTTACTTAGAATAAGAGTATGCTATCTTACAAGATAAATAAATCTTTGTGAGGCCAATAATTTGAAAAATGAAATTGAAAAAATTCTGATTAATGTATCTATAGCAAATCCTATGATTTATTTCAAGACTCAAATTGTTGATCTCTAATACAGAACACTAAGTTTAATAAAAGATGAAGATTAGCTCAATCAACTACTTGAGAAAAGTTTTAATGAACTATGAGATATCTTCTAATCTATGAAAACTAAGAATAGTATGCTAATGAGATATTTATTTAGATTATGTCTTCTTATAAGCAAGATTATAATGAGATAGAAAAAATAAGTGGTATGTAAAGACAAGGATAAGTTCAGATTACAATGCGTGATTAAGTTTAACGGAATTATTCATGATCATTTTAGTAAGATTTAAGATAGAACACTGACCTTCTTTTTGAATGGAAGAGTGAAATATAAAATTCTAAAGTTTTTGGAGTAAGGAGCCGATAGTAGTGTGATAGATAGAAGTTATGCAATGTTCGTAAGTAGCATTTAAGAGAAGAGATTTAAGTCATAAGTTTTTGTATATACAAACCCCATTTCAATAACTTTCAATAGACAAATTTTATTCAGATTCAAAACAAGATATCGAGCAAGCATATGATGAAGACAAGATAGATGATTTTGACCAATTTTTAAAATGACTTGAAAAAACACAGATACTGAATTATTTAGATTAATACAGTTTAATTTCTCTTTGCATTTTTGATTATTTTGATTCAAGGGGTTTTGGGGTTTTGGGGGTTTTGGGG